TCCTCCCTCCCAACAGCGCGGCCTCCACCCCTCTCCCGCCCGCGAGATGCTGGAGCTTCTAGTGTCTGTTTCCGTTTCGCTGCTGAAACGACAGTTTCTCTGGAACGAGTCTGGCAGACGCGTCAAGTCACAAAAACCTGTCTTCGTATTTCTCGCGTGTTGACGCCTCGCCGCTGGGCTTTTGTGAGCCGCAAGCAGCGCGCTTTCGGCTTTCCTCGGGACTGGGTCTTAAAATAGAGTTTCGGGCAGCATCTCGAATGCTGTCAGACGCAGAAGGGAATCGATGATCTAGCCTAAGATAGAGTTTTTAATCCGCATGGTCTTTGGCCAAATACACCCAATGAGAGAATTTTTCCAACTGAAGCTACAAGCCCCCAAGGTGCATGTGCGGTGAGAGTCGTTTCCGCGGGAGGGAGCCGGCCCGCCGGAGGCAAGCGGCTGTGCCTGGGTGGTGCCCGCGGCCGGGAGGAGGCTCATTGCAGAATGTTCTACCTAAAGTTCATCAGTGGGAGTTTGATCAAATAAACGATGGGCCAGCTATGGGATAGAGTGGGACACAGCAATTAACAGGGATGGTGGAGATCTTGTTATAAACAGCACGTCACGTAATATTTTTAAATTATACGCCGGTGCATCTGTTTCTGAGTAGGAAGATTGTGGAAGACATTTGCTTTCCTGATAGTCTTCATGTTTTATAACAAGAAACTATTGCTATTAAAATCAGGAGAATTTTTTATATTGAAGGAAAAAAGCTGCTGAAAAAGTGTTGAAAGAGGAATGAATGAGTACTTATTACTCGTGAGCAGGAAACCCTGGGTTCTAGGGAGGCCTCAGGCATCTCTGAAAGGGCTGGAAAGCTCTACCCATTGACGATCGGGGCTTCAGATACCCAGAAATCTGTTTTAGTGAAAAACCTGCTTAGAAATCACAACCGAAATAAAGGTGGTCCCCGTGCCCTAATCCTGGGTGCCGGCCCGTCCAGCTCGGGGACCGCCCCCAGCCTCTCCCTGTAGCCACCTCTCCATGGAGCGGCGCTGAATTCGCACCCAGTAGCCGTTCCAGGGAAGCCGTTTGTTTGCCTCCTAGCATCCCTAGTGTGTGCAGAGAGCGGACGCTGCTCCTCAGAACCTGTTTGCAGAGCGGTAATTGAATGTTTAAAGAAACCCGAGGCTTCCCGGGAGAAGCATTTTTCTGCGCGGAGCTGTAGGGCCGCTTCGTAACCTCCATAACCCCCGGTCCCCGTGGACGTGCAGGCCCGGCCCCGGGCAGGTGCAGGCCGCCTGCCTCTCTGATCACGATGCTTCATTGCGCGGGCGGCCAGCTCCGACCCCCGTTTTTCCCGGTGAGGGTGATTGAAAGCGATGACCATAGGTCGCCCCCCCTCACCCGCAGAGCTTTCCCTTTTCCAGCGGTGGGAGGCAGTTGCCTGGGAGGCCCCCAGCCCCCTGAGTTTATATTTAGGGTGCCTCTGAGCTAGAACCTTGGCCTTGACTTTTGTTCTGTCTGGAGTAATTCCAGACAACTCGTTAGGGGCAACTCTAGTTAGTAGTCACCCAGCCGGTAGCAGACGGGGCATTTTACATTTCTCGCATGTGGGCAAGAATATCGGGGAGGCATTTCTTTGGCAGCATCTCTCGGCGTATGGTGCTGCCGGGTGGGGAGGTGGGGCGATGCAGCAGGGAGCACGGGGGGATTCGTCGTTGGCTGCGTAACCGCCCAGACGATGCTCGTCCGCCGGTCCTGGCGACCCACGCGGCGTCCCGTGACCGGCCCGGGATGGCTGTCCGTGGCCGTGGGGCTGTGCACAGGCCTCGTCCTGGCCCACAGGCTGGCCAGTCATCTCTGTGAAGACGTAGTAGGTGCACCCATCACGCTTCCCGGCAACGCAGGGCTGAGGGGGGTAACTGCGCTCCACGAGGTGGACTCTGAATCATGGAGATTCCGGGAGTTTGATCAATGGGCCAGAACTAACAAGATGCGATTTAATGGGGCTGAATGTGAAGTCCTGTGCTGGGGTTAACAAAACATAAACAGGGTAAGTGCGGAAGGAAATGTGCTAGAAGGAGCCCTGCAGACTCAGTCCGCGCCCCTGGGGTGGGGTGGCTGCGAAAGGTGACCCCCGCCTGTGTCTTGGAGGAGGGTGGCCCTTTGGGCCAAACAGAATCCGGCTTCGAGGTGACCTGTGGAGGGTTATCACGTGGAAGTGAGAGTGGGGTTCCTTTGGGGAGCCATGGTGTTCGGCGCTGACCTAGGATAACGGTGGCTGGGCTGTGGGCTGAGGAGCGCGAGCCGACGGTGGGTGCCGGCCCCCCAGATCCTTCCAGTTCGGGGTGCCTGTCTCAGCGGACTCCTTGGCCGTGGGGCTGTTCCTCCCAGGGCATACGGAGCTCCCTCCCCCGCTCTAGGGCTCAGGTGGTCCCTGTGGGGCCAGCTCTGCACGCACTCGAAGGGCAAAGGCCGGGGAAGGTCCCCTAAGGGCCGACGCGAGCTGCGCGGGCTGCAGCCGTCGAGAGCGCGCTCCCTTCGATTTCGGTGGAAGTCGCTCGGCCTGAGCATTTACGGTCTTTCTAATTGGGCCACATTTTGCTTCCTGGATAACAACTCAGTTCCCCTGAGCCTCCCGCCTCACTGCGATCCCTGAAGTTACACGGACTTTGGAAAATGTCAGGACACCATTTTTAGAGGCTTTCGTTTCCCGTCCGGACTTAAGTTTGAGATGCCCGAGCTCGTTAAGATCAACCTTTTCAAAGGGGTGCCCTCCGGGCTCTAATTTGAGAGGTGGCGTCCTTGAGCGGGCCTCTGTCAAGCCGGCGGGTTTGAAAGGGCGTCTGATACGGAAACGCGTGTCCAAGTGCAATCGGGCCGCCCTCGTCCTCACTGGCTGTGCCTCGGGGAGCGGG